CTGCTTAAAGTCATCAGAATATTGCTCTTTCGCCTGTGCACCCCAAAAACTTAAACGGGGGTCTCTCAGATCCTAGGGTGACAAAAGAACTCAGGCTTTAAAAGTGAGGCTAAACCGCTTCTAATCCCAGCTGTGCCCTTCACTAGCTGTGGGGCCTTGAGCACGGTCAAGCAGCTCTCCACGCCTCAGTTGTACTCACCTCTACAATGGGGCAACACCTGCAGAGTGAGGCTGGAGGGAGATAAGATACTACTTGAAAGCCTTCCCATGGTCACTGAGGAAACTCGGCCCTCCTCAATTCCGACATCACTGTCCAAACTTTATAAAGACGAGGAAACGAAGGCATGGGGAGTCAAGGTCATTTGTTGAAGTTCCACGGCTGTCACCTGGTAGAGCTGGCTGTAGCCCAGTGCTCACTCTCTTAAAACTACATCACACTGTATCCCAGAACTGAGCACTGGGCCTTCGTGACCTTGAATTAGGCAGAGAACTTAGATCAACCAAGACAGGAAAAATCCCCGAGGAAACGCTATTCTGGCAGAGGGAAGTGCTTTTTCCTCTCCATCTCCCTATAAGGCACCTGTCCCCACACACTGGGGCTTGATCAGGTTGCCAAGATGTGGGAAACTTCCCTGATGATCCCTAAGCCAAAGCCAGGAGCTCCTGGGGGTGTCTGCAAAGACCTGCTTACTCAGGCTGCGAGTAGACTTTGGGGCACCTGCTTCTGCTAGTCCTGCCCAAGCTATCCGGGAAAACGGTAATTGTGCTGTGTCTTCCAATATATACAGTTACTTTATTTTTGGAGGAAAGCAAGGAGGAACAGGGAACACAACACTCCCATTCATTTAATTACAGGAACAGTCAGGACCAATTTGGCAGCTATTAAAATACTAGTTTGCCTTTATGCCGTCTCTTCGCAGCGGGAGCTGGAAGTCCAAATTGGCTGCTAAGGGCTGGCGATGGGGACAGAAGGTCAACACCGCTATTAGGAACCGCGTGGAGTTAAAAACAGAGGCACCATGTGGCCTGTTCTGTTTGTCTCACTGTTTGCTTTTCGTCCTTTGCCATCTCTTTGTCTTTTAAGCTCTCTGCTCTGTCACAATGTCTTTTACAAGGGCTGGTCCAGAAGCATTGGAATGGGAAGGGATTTAGGGGACCGTCTTGTTCATCCCCTTTGTTTTCCAAAGAGAGGCCAGTGGCTGCCTCCAGGCCAGCCCATGTCGGAGGCAAGCAGGACCAGAGCACAGAGAGGCGTCCCCACGCAGGGATGCCCGGCTCCGGGACACAGTCCCCTGTCTGAGCCCCGGCCTCGCTGTGTGAACTTAAGCAACTCCCTTCATCTGTCTGAGTCTCAGTTCCCTTATCTGTGAAATGACACTAATAAGCTGGGAAGGGTCACCAGCTGGAGCCGCAACATTAAAACCAACACAAAGGACAACAGAACTAATGAAAGTTAAGTTAATGGGAAAAGGTGTGTGTGGGGCGGGTCACAAAGTACCAACACCCAGTTATAAAACAAGTAAGACCTGGGCTGTCATGTACAGCGCGGTGACTACAGTCAATAACACTGCAGTGTGTATTTGAAAGTCGCTAAGAGAGTAGATCTTAAAAGTTCTCATGGCAAGAAAAACATCTGTAACTACATATAGTGATGAATGTTAACAAGACAGTTTGCAATATATACACATATCACATCGTTATGCTGTACACCTGGAACTAAGGTGATGCTATAGCCTAACTTAAAAAATGGGCTCCTGCCAGTGAACTACTTGGTGATTTAATGGGACGCGTTTATTTTACTTTAACCCTCTCCAGAAAAAATAAAAAAGAATTAAACTACCAAAAAACTAAAAGCACTAAGAGCCAGGGCTTTGCGAAAGCAGTTGGACCACTTGAGTAGCCATCTCTGAAGTCAGACACTGATGCTTTAGTTGCATTGTACAATGACTTTCTTTCCTCCTTAAGCCACTTGGAGCTGGGTGTGTGTCATTTCCCACCCATAGCGTCCTTCCCGACACAGGACCAGCACAGGGCCCGGAGCTGAGCTCTGCACACGTGGGACAGAGGAGACGGGCATTGGCTGAGCTTGTTCGTGTTGTAGGTGAGACCGCAGCTAATGAAGGAGAGAGTGGCAAACAATGACATGTTGGTTCATGTTACTATTAAATTAACACGAAATTACTGACTTGATTCATCAACTGAGAGAATCCAAGCTGAGGCCTCATGGGGGGTGGAATGTGTGAGCTATTCTGTCCTTGGGTTTTAGGGTTTTAGAAGGAGGTGCAAGCAACATCTTTTTAGCCTCAGACTTTGTCCTGTCCCATGCTATTTGGGTACCACCTGTCGACTGTTGATGCACATCAGTTAGACGGGATATACTCACACACCCAGAGGCATGACTCTGGCCCAGCCGTGGGCCGGATCCGGCCTGTTTGAAATGAATAAAACTATTGAAAAAAAAGACCGTACCCTTTTATGTAATGATGTTTACTTTGAATTTATATTAGTTCACACAAACACTCCATCCATGCTTTTGTTCTGGACTTCCGGTCCAGCCTAAGAACCCATTGCGGCCCTCGAGTCAAAAACTTTGCCCATCCTTGCTCTGGCCCATACACCATCTGTTTCTTTCTCCCAACAGCAACATTTTAGCCCAATACGTATCATGGCACTGCCATCATTGTCATCACCACCACCATCATCATAGGGCATTTACACTATGTCAAATGTTTTTATGCAGCATCTCATTTAATCTTCCCAACAATCCCATGAGTGTAGGTCTATTAATATTTCCATTGTACAGGTAAAGGAAAAGGCTCAGAGAAGTCAAGCCACCTGTCCAATGTAACACAGCTAGGGCACGGCAGAGCAGACTCAGTCTAACCCTAGAGATGTAATCTTGAAGCCCATGATGTTAACCTCTGTCTGATACCCAGTTCCTAGTATAGTGGCTGGAAACAGTAATCAGAGAATAAATACTGACTAGGCTGAAACAAGAATAGTACGGTAGATGTAATTCAGACATGTCTATCAATTTACAATAAGCTCCATTCTCAATGTGTGACTTTATTTGCCCAAAACATGTATGGCAAGGTTACCCAGAGGGGAAAAAAGGTCTTCAATCTCTACCGAAGGTGGGGACATGAAAACATGGCCTAGTTTTGATAGCTAACCACCTCCAAGGAATCCTGTTCAGTTCTACCTCATTCCCATGGGCTTTGGGGCCAGAGACCTGGGTTCAAATTCCAGCACTTTCCAGCTGTGACCAGGGGAAAATCCCATTTTTTCCTGACAAATGGGGCTACTGATTCTTGTTTTTGCACTGAGTGACTGTAAGAATGCAATTGGGTCCTGCAGGAAAGGGGTCCAGCAGAGCAATGGACACTTAGCAGGGACACAACACACAGAGGCTATTAAGAACTCTTCCTCTGCCAGGCCTCCCCCACCTTAGTTACCGGACATGCTATACTCATCTGTGCTGCTTTACAGGGTGGCCTCAAATCTGGGGCTCTTTTTATAATCCTCACCTGAGGATATGTTTATTGATTTTTAGAGAGAGAGAGAGAGAGAGAGCTTAGTTGCCTCCCATAGACACTCCAACTGGGGACCAAACCTGAAAGCTAGGTATGTGCCCTAAATGGGAATCGAACCCACTACCCTTTTGGTGTACAGGATAATGCTCCAACTGAGCCCTCCAGCCAGGGCAAGTAAAGAATGCAGGTTGCCAGTAGGACAGGAACAACCTATAAATAGACAGCTGGATGAAATCAAAGTTAAACCGCAGGAAATCGATACACCACAAGGACTCTGGGGTGACGACTCCAAAGCTCAGGAAACGGAGCCCGCTGCTTCTTTTGTCCCTCCCTGCTGTGGATAACGGGGTGAACTAAGTCACAGAGCCAGCCACAGCCACACCTGCACCAGCAGTGGCGAGAACACCGAAAGCAGAGATCGCAAACTGAAATGCCAACGGGGCCAGGTAGGGAAGGGGGACAGGTGAGAACGTCCGAGACGTGGAAAACCTTCTTATCTTTTAAGGTGAACTGGAAATCTGGATTTTCATGGGAAATACTGCTATTTTTAAATGGGGCTATTAATTTTCAAATGAAACACCTGAAGTAAACACAACAAAACAAAACCAACATGAGGGCCAAACAAAACAGGTTAACGAGCTAACATCATCCTATGAGCTGCCAGGTTGTGTCCGGAGGTCAACTCTAGAAAAAGGCTCCAAGATGCTAGAGTGCTCCTGGGCTGGATTTTAATGGTGTTGTAGCTCTGGATGGTGTTGCTGATCATGCGATCCCTCCTACAGGGGGCGCTCAAGACTGTATCCCTTCAGGTTGATCTCTGGCCATGGAGATTTGGACCCAGTTCAAAGCTGGATGGTAGTGATGCTATTTGGCACTGTTCATTTTAACGACGGAGGCGCAATGGGTCCAATTGGGCTTTGGGTGCCTCAAATTCCTGCCAAAGTCTCAGGCAGCAAACTGAGGCAATGGTGAGGGCACAGGGCTGGAGTCAGGATACTGGAGTTCAACTCCTTGCTGGCATGAGACTCTTTTCCACTAGAGAGTAAATTCCGAAAGTGCGAGGATTTGGTCTTGTTCACTGCCAGAAGGCTGCCTGGCACACGCGTGGCATTAGGCAGATATTTGTTGAATGACTGGCTGACCAAATGGTTGGGGACATCACAAGTGACGGACCTTTGTCTTCCCACCAATAAAGTGGGAATTAACCTCAAAGTTGCCACAATGGGACACTGGATGCACAAAAGTGCTTGACGAAAGGTGTAAAGGGCAATGATCCGAGGAGAACCACTGATTATGATCACTGCCCTTCACTGACATCAGAGGGACCACTTCAGATCCCACCGTGGCCGCCTCCCTCCCACCCTCAACTTCCTTCTGGCTGCACCAAACCGCGTAGAAGGAAGCCCCAAAATGATCACTCAGATTTTCATTTCCATTTTTGTACAAAGACGGGGGAAGACATGCTACCTTGCATTGTCCCGGCCGTGTGACTTCAAGAAATTCATATCTCGGTATCGGGAGAGAAATGCCACCAGTTGGTCATTTGTCCTGTAAACAAACAAAGAGGAAAGTCAGAATCCTCCAGAGACAACGGGGTCTGGAGTCTTGGCTCCATTCTTTGCATGGAGAAAAGCATCCCTCCTCCTTTCACACCCACCGGCTGAAAAGGCTGTATTCCTTCACGAGTCGGCACCCCTGGCCTCCCCACACCACGCTGAAACGCACTGTCTGCGTGTCTCCTGGATGCTCCCTGCACTGCGAGCTCTTTGAGGACAAGCATGCTATCTTACTTTGGAATCTTCGGTGCCCGGCCCTGGGCTTGACAAATAGTAAGTCATCACTGCGTAGCTCAATACAAATACGTAGCAACTCCAGGGTCTTTGCACTTGCTGTGCGTGGCAAATCCTGTCCTGTATCTTCCCTTTACTAGCCGCCTGTGGTTATCCAGGTCCCCTTTCAAATGTCATCTCATCGGAGAGGTGTTTCATAGCCACGCCACCGAACATAGCACCCATGCACCCCCTCTCTGCCTTTATCACATCACTTTATTGACTTCACCCTCTTACCAACATCTGAAGGTGTTGAACTTCCTGACATTAGGATTGTAAGTTCCAGCAAGACAGAACTAGTTGCACTTGCCCATCACTGGCATGTAGCAGGAGCTATAAGGATGTTTGTGGATGAATAAATGACTGAGATTGAGACGAGTGTGAACTGACTCTTTCAAAAGTATTTTGGGAAATGAATGAATGAGTGAATGAATGAGTGAATACCAAGTTCTCAATAATCACTGGGCCACTGATTGAGAGATCTTTAAAAAAGAGAAAGTGCGATACAAACAAATGACAATGTTCCCAGCATTGTTATCCCAAATTTATCACCATCAATCTCGGCACTAGCAGTGTAGTCACAGCTAATCAGCGTGTGCACACAGCTGTGACAGCATTTTAAAAGGCAGTCACACCGGTCTCCATCTGCCAGAAATGTAGTCGCCTCTTCCGCTGAATAAACCCAACAGGTAACCGGTGCTGAAGTGACAGCTCCTTTATCATCAGGCTTCTCTGCTCAGGGGTTTTTGTTCAGAAGAGAAGGGTTAACCATTGTTTCAGGCTGGGAGAAATGTGCAGGCAGTGGAAAGGAAGGACATCTATGGGAACAGGCTGGAGGCTGGACCTTTGGGAGGCAGGCGGGTGCCTGAGAAGGTGATGCCTGGGCTCAAGACGCAGGAGACTCTGGAGACAGATCCCAGAGGCTCTCCTGACCAGGCTCTGTGTGTCTCCAGGTAAGCCATTTACCTCCCCTGGACTCATCTGGGTGGGTCTAAAGGGCACACAGTAGGTGTACAATAAGTACAAGCTGTGCTATTCTCTCTGCCTCCCATCATCTGGTCCAAGCCACCACAACCCCTCACCGCTCACTCCTTCATTTCCCTGCATCTCCCTGCAGTCGCGCCTCTCCAAGCCCCTGTTCTGTGATTGGATGACTCATGTTTGACCAACTCATAATTCCAGCGGAGGGGGCACAGAACAGTTAAGAGATGCTGCAGTGAAAATGAGCACTGCCGATGTCCCGTCCCGTTACTGAAATCAACACCGATGCAAAGCCAGCCCTCCTAGCAGGCAGACTCCAGAGAAACCCCGTGCGCCTGCAATGAGCTAAATCCGGCACAGACAGCCACTCAGCCCTGCCGGTGCTCAGAGGGGAACCCCGGGGATGCAGACAAAGGCTCACCCCACGTGTCTGCACAATGATGGTGCGTCTCCTGTGTGGACAAATCTGCCCGCTCACTGCAAGGTGAAGCCCAAGCATGCCCCATGCCAAGTTACGGCCGCATGTGGGCAGAGGGCCTCCTGAAGTTGCTGGGTGAGGTCTTAACTGAAGCAGCTTATAAAAAATTAAAGCGAGCTCCCTCCGAACCATCTACGCGTCCTAGCATTTCCTATTCACCAGCCCCCTCGCTACTCTCTGCGCCAGTTCATTATTGTCCTCCTGATGAATACGGGGACAAGTTAACCTCTGAATGGGTCGCTGGCAGTAGGAATAATAAACAGGGCCTCTCAGTAGCCTCAGTGGGAGGGTTGAAGGGGCCGGGCTGGGGTTCCCGGGGGGAGGGGGGCCCCCTCTCTCAAAGCCTCAGGCCTCTCAGGGTCAACGGCTGCAGCTCCATTTGGCAACCCCAGAAAGCCCGGCTGCAGCTCCATTTGGCAACCCCAGAAAGCCCGTTCAGGGCCCTGAACTGTGGCCATTTTCACATTTACCACTTCACCAAGTCCCCATCTGACGGGGATGAATAGGCATTTAGCGAATTTACTTAGCGATGCTTCCACATGAAATCCTCTCAAAAGATGACATCTTTGGGGAGGGAGGGCTGACGGGGAGGGAGCCATGGATTCCAGGCCCAGAGCTTGTGGGTAAAGGCACTTTTTCAAAGCAGAGAGCGGTGTCCCCTGCCTGTCCCCTCTCCCTGGGGCCCGGTCCCCCTCGCTCTCCCTCTGCATAAAAAGCCTGCTGGGAATACTAACGCCTGTCTCCCAGCCCTTCTCCAAGGGGAGAGGGAATTCGGCTGGGGACCAAGTTTTCCTATTGTTGCTTTCAGACGCCTGTCGATAATTGCCTACATAATATTTAGTTCTCTCCAGATAATTAACAGCTTGTGATCTGTTGACATTTTACCCAGTTCTAGTCTCTCTCTCTCTCTTTCTCTCACTTCTCACTCACTCTCTCTGGTGGAGTCGTTTGCCAAGTGGCTCCCACAGCTCAGCACTGTGTCTGTCTCCCCACCAATTTCCCTGCACCTCTTGCAGAAATCATTAGAAGGCGTGTCTCTTCATCTATGCCAGGTCCTCTGACTCATGATGGTGACTCAGGTCCATCACGGTCCCCGCTGGAGACGCTGGGACATCTTTGTTTTCATAAACATGGTTTTCAATAAATACATCTTAAAATAAGTGTATTGGAACCATATGGAGATATTGGTTGAAATGAATAAAAAAAAATGAAAATGAAAGAAGCTCCATTGACCACGTATGGAATGTCCACATTAGTTTAGGCCCCACTTTGTTGCATTTAGTTTTCACAAAGATGCCATAAAACGTGAGTTTCATTTCCATTTTGCGGATGGGCAGCTGAGACTCAGAGAAGTCACCCTTTTAGTGAAGTGAGGAATCAGGATTGGAACTGCAGGCCACTTCACCAAGGACTGTGTGAATAAATGAACGAGTGAGTGAGTGAATTCCACTCCAGGTGCAGAAAAGATAACGGTGCTCTGAGGCCTCCCCACTGCATCTGGTCCTCACAGCAAGAGCACCAGCCCTCTCTGATAGAGGCTCCCCCAACACCCACTGAGTTAAACTCTGCTTTTTAACAAGATTCCCAGGTGAGGCGTCTGCCCTTTAGAGCTTAAGAAGTGCTGCTTTAAGTCAAGCATGGATATTGGTAGTTAATTCTCTTTCCTTCTTCATCTTCTCCCCATGGGCTCTTCCTGAAAGCCCAGACCTCGAGCATGCTCCTTTCATCTCCATAAGCCTCACGTGTTGCGAGTATTAAGTAAAATAATGCGTGTCAGACCTGTGCAGGGCGCCTGGCATATCCTAAGCCTTTGATAAATGTTGCCTGTTACTTAACAATACAGGGTGGAGCAAAAGTAGGTTTACCGTTGAGTGCATGAAACGCAGAGTTTATTCTTATATACTTATTTATTGATTATTGTATTCATTTCCATTGGACAACTGTAAGCCTCCTTTTGCCCCGCCCTGTACTATTATTGCCATTTTGAGCACCTGAGACATTTGCACAGGAACACCAGTGCAAGGACCCAGCCTGCTTTGAACTTGGAGGCTTCCTGTGCATTGCACCCACGCGATGTTTGCGGAGCACGGTCTGAACACCCCTAAACGGGACTTACCCAGTCTCCTAGCCGGGGTCAGAGTTGGGAACTGTCTCCCAGAGGCCCCTGCACCACCACACGTGTCTAATATGCATAATGGCTCTGGGCTGAACACACAGGGAGGGGCGTGGCTCCCTCTCTGGTCCTTCTCCACACATCCTCTCCCCCAGGAACCCAGCCACAGCCACACCGTCTGCTGGCACGTGTGACGGGCGAGGAGAGCCTGCTTAGCCTCCACTAGAAAGAGGCCTAACGCAGAGCCCACTTCTCTTCTCTGGGTCCTGTCTGCCCCCCACCCTTGGGCCCCAAATCTCCTCTAATACAGGGTGCTGAGAAGAATCAGGGGTGCTCACGACTAAGGGCGAGGCTGACAGTGCTCAGGCAGAAGTGAAGCACAGAGTTTTGTGAATGTCAGGATTCAGGATTTCAAACCCCTGATGCAGACTGGCAAGTCTGCACAGACCCGAGGGACCAGATTCAGCCGCTGTGGGCACGGGGCTTAGGCCACCTGTGGAGCAGAAATGTGCAGGACGGTAGTGAAGGAAGGACAGTGGGCTGGGACAAGCAGAGGGTGGTCAGGGTCGAGGAGGCACCATCAGTCTGAGCCCAGTTCCTACTCCTGGTGTATCAGTTACCTCCTATGTATGTTCCACTTACATACCACTTTAGCTTCATCCTAAGCAACAATATATGTGATCGCTTGTGTACCTTTTTCCCCCTCAAATTTTAAATTGAGGTAAACACATAAGCTTGAATTTGCCATCTCAACTGTCGTTAAGTGCGGAGTTCCATAGTGTTAAGTACATTCATAGTGTTGTGCAACCATCACCACCATCCATCCCCAAACTTCTTTTCATCTTGAAAAACTGAAACTCTGAACTCATTAAATAACGACTCCCTATTTCCTCCCTTCCCCGAGCCTCTGGCAACTTCTTTCTGTCTCTACGAAAAGTCAAATTCATACAGTAGACAAACGCTAGATACCTCACCTAAGTGGAATCACACGTTATTTGTCTTTCTTTGTGACTGGCTTCTTCCACCCAAAATCCTGTCCTCAAGGCTCATCCACACGGTAGCATGTGTCAGAATTTCCTTCCTTTTTAAGGCTGAGTCATAGTCCATCAGGGCATACCATTGTTACGTGTTTTCCTGTGACATGTGA